CTGTCTCTTAACTCTGCATGTTTCCTGTCAGAAATGGGAAAAAGTCTGCATGAGGGATGTACATGGGAAGCGTGTTAAATACACCAATTACCAATTTGGGAATGTAGTAAAAGGGTAGGTCTGGGCAGAATGCTGAAAGAGAAGGCTGCCAGGAGTATCACCTTGAGGAATGACTCATTGGTTTAGTAAATTGCTTCATGTAACTTGTGCCAAATAGACATTGCTTGTGTTATGAGATATACTTCCCTGCCTGGATGCCAGGAAAGGCCCCAGCTGGCTTGGCACTGTGCCATTTGAATTCCATTTTGCTTTCAGGAGATAAGACCAAGTAAACTAGAGATTAAGGAGTTGAGGGAAATGGTAGAGAAAGACAATCATGAGCCCCTCTGAGGTGCAGCCAGCATTGAAATACAAAAGGAAGCTGAATTTGTGAGGGTTTTGGGTGTTTTTTTTTTGGCAACAGAAAACGATTGGGAAGGTAAGTGTGGCTCCATTTTTGTTCATTCAGACTCTACTTTCTGTACTTGGAGTTTTTAAAGCTGGATGCCAGTGTAGGCAGGAAGGTAGTAATAATGCAATTTTAAAATAACTAAAATTATTTTTCTTGCTTTTGGAAAGCAGTGTTTACACTCAGACGTATTAATGAAAATAGCAGTCAAGCTTTGTGCACGCAGCTAAAATTTAACTGTTACGTATCTCGGGGTAAACTACCCATGGTACAGTCATTCAGAACCACTTTCTAGTTATTCAGTACATACATAATGTGGCCCTGTGTGTGCAGTCGTGCGTGAGGAGTTATAAAGAATAAGACAGTGCTTTCCCCTCTCTCCCTCATAGCCAATTTAGTTGTGGAAGTAAGACAAATAATTTTAGAATGGCATTTGATAACTAGCACAAGTAAGCTGGATAGAATAAAAGAAAGAAATCCACTTATTCTGAAGGCTGCCTATGTCATTAAGATGCTATTGGCAATGGGTAATTACCAAAGGAAGCGTAGGGAAGGAAGGGATTTGATCAAAGTTATGTGGTATGAATATGAATCTGTAGGATGTATTGGAAGAGGGAGAGATAGGAAGGAGACAGACCAATTAAAAGACTACCATTCCTCTGATCCAAAAACTTGAATGGTTTCCCAGTACTTCCTGAATTATGCATGGCTTGGTATTATAGCCCCTCCAACGCGGTCATAATATATTTTGGTGTTCTATCGCACTTCTCCCTTTTAAGAAGCTCTAGCTAGGTTGGCCTATTCCCTGTTCCAAAACAAAACAAGAAAGTTGTATGCTTACAAACTTCTTGGCTGATGTGTTTTTTTCCTTTTGTCTAAAATAGCCATCATCTTTACCTATTAAATATTCACTCATTCATTTGTAGGTTGGAACTATTTTAAGGTTTGGGGATTGACTGGTAAGATACAAACTGTTAACTTACATGTAATTAATTGCACAAAGGAATAGTTATAGTTCAGTGTAATAAGCATAGTGACAGAGAAAGGTCTGGAATTGGAGGACCCTCAGGGAGGTGAGGTGTACCTTAACCTTCCCTTAGGGAATTGATAGAAAGGGGAGCTTCCCAGAAGAGGCCACATCTGTCCTAAGCCTTAGGATGAATAGTTTACCTGGCAGGTATAGAATAGAAAAGAAAGTGAGCGAAAAATATTTCAAGCTGAGAAAACAAATTAAGCAAAGGCACTGAACTACAAAATAGGGAATATATCAGGGAAATGCAAGCAATTTGGTGTTCCTAGAATGTAAAGTATGAAGCTGAACGCTTAGATAGGGGCCAGATTGTGGAGAACCTGCTATACTATATGAGGGAGCTTGCCCTGACTCTGTGAGATAGTATAATTGTTTTAAAATACTCTTGGCAGAAGAGTTCTTTGTGGAAAAGTTTATGCAGAAGCCCTGTACAACAGATAAATTCAGAATTACGCTCTGGTTGAAGCAGAGGGATACCTCCCCCTATCACATACACCCACTATATCCTTTTAAAGCTACAGTAGACTTGAACACCATTTAAGCATTCTTTTTTTTTTTTTTTTTTTTTTTAGCTGAGCCATCCTGCTACCTATTGGCAGCTTAGCGGCAGCTCAGCTCGGGCTGGGCATCGAACTGCTGTTGCTCAGAGCTCAAACTCTTGAGCGAGCTCTTAACCAACTGAGCCACTCGGCCAGCCCCTCATTTAAGCATTCTTTAGGGAAGGAAATAACTGAAGATCTTTCTTTTACTTTAATCCTTTAGTGTAATCTTGGTTCCCTTTACTTGGTCATTTTGTTTAATCTGTACGTGCTCAGGTTGAAATTGAAATTAATTTCTGTGTAATTCTAAACAAAATGAAAGGCAATTTTATGAAACATATGAGGTATACATATATATGTGTATATATAAATGGTTTCTAAGTAAGTTGATTTACTTGTGCATGTTGCTCTTTCATTGTCATGGATGGTTTGGAGCTCACAAAGAGGACTGGGAATCAGAGAGCCAGTTTAACTTTGTGATTAAGCAAACCTTAGATACCTGAGAAGACATTTACTCCTTGCTGTGTTCCACTTTCCTCACCTGAAATGGAATGCATTAAAGTGCTTGATGCACACCCCACCCCACCCCCACTTGGGGAAAAAGAGGACTCAGAAGCACACTGCAAGGCCGAAGAGTCTAAAAAAACAAATTCCTCTTATGTTATAGAACCTGGAATATATACAAATGTTAAAGACTACTTCAGCACAAACAATAAATGTGAACTAGTAAACTAAATTAGGACAAGCAGAATGGACAAAATTGCTTTTCTAAAATTGACTTTCTAAAAGTGATTTTCTTTGGCTGTGTACTCAAGATTTGTGAACTCCAGCTTTGTTTGAAAATACTTGAAATATGATCCCTTTAATTTCCAAGGAGCAGATTAATACCTTTTAAAAAATATTTTAGGTAAGAAGCAGTCAATAGTGTTGTAAATGTAAAATATTCATAAGAATAAAAGTCAACACTATTCTCCCACACATTCCATGTCAGAGGTAAAATACCCTAACCTGTAGGAGTGATACTTTGAATGAAACCTTTGATTACATTTTAAGTTACAATAATAGAAAATGAAGAGTCTACATTAAAACTTTGAGGAAATAATTGTGAGTGAATTTTAGGTCCAAATAATAAGTTTGATATATTGTATTTATCCTCTCCATAGACATGGTAGAGAAAAAGTATGTGATAATAGAAGCCATTTCTTACTTTTTCCCGAATATATTTATAAATTTCCATAGAAAAGATCATAGGTCATTCCCTCCTATAATATCAAAAATAACTACCACCTTTTTTTCTTTATGGCTTAGGCCTTCATTATTCCACATAATTGGCATTTTTAGAACTATGAGCAAAATAGTTATGTTTATTTAGGTTCATCTGTTTGTTCAAAGATACAAACTATTATTTTCCCCAAATTTACCCCCATTTTTTCTACTTTTAAGGCAGGTAGAGGATACATTTTTGCCTTTCTTACTAGGAAGGAGTTATTTAACCTCTCCGTGCTACTCTTTTAATTATTTAAGTAGAGATAATATAATTTTCATCCTGAAGGGGATGGATGACTTAGATTACTATTTGTAAAGTTTTATATTACAGAGTGCTTTAGGACGAGTCTGTATCTTTATTGGTGCTTTTATTTGGCCTCCTTATTTTTTAGAATTTACCTTTCTTAATTTTCTACCTTTTGGTTTTTCAGTGTGCAAGCAGTAGCCTTAGTGATGGTAATGAGAAAATGCGGAATTTAGGCGCCTATAAGGAGTGAAAATTTTCAGTCCATTATGAAGACATTAAGGGCTTTGCTCTTCAGATTCTCGGCAACGCGAAGAGAGCTTCCCTTACTATCATCCCCTTGACCCCAGTCACAGGAGTTGGATTACTGGGGCAAAGCAGCAGGCATATCCGCTTACGCCTGCATGTATCCCAGCTTTTCTGGATCAGTTGATGTGATATGTGTCCATTGCAATCATTTGTAGAAATAAATTATTCCTCATCTGTAAAAGGGGCATAATAATAATGGCTCTCTCATGATGTCACACATGTAAATCCCTTAGCCTTGCACATAGTAGTAAGAACTCAGTGCTAGTCATTATTACTGAAATGTGTTGACATTTCAATATTGGAGCCATAAGAAATTAGAAACAATGATTAATTACTGATATATTTTGCCAAACTAAGATGCTACCAATACCATTCCTAGTTTTGATAAAGGTGACTAAAGTCTCGTTGTGAAAGGAATTTAGAGCCATCCCATTACTCTACAAGGATAATCTGTAAGTTTTAAAATACTTATTGGCATTAGAGATCTTTTGTACCATTCATAGCCCTCATACCACATATACAAACAACACTTGATATGTTTCTGAAATTATGCCAGAAAAAAATATTTTTTAGGGTTTTACAAGCTAATCTCACTTTTAGAAAAAAATATGCCATTTTTATGTATCTATTTCAGTTTCCACTAAAAATATGTTTTATTAACTATCTCTAAATGCTTAATTCTAAAATTGAGGAAAAGTTGGGTGAATCCACTACTTTTATCTAATAAAACCTTCTTTTATGAGAATTTGGGAGCTAAATCTTTCTGGTTGACTTTTATTTCCATTTACCTTGTTGAGCGTTTGGCAGAATTGGAGCTTGTGACCCAGTGTCTGATATAAAAGAATCTTTTATTTGTGTGGGTGTTTTGTTTTGTTTTCCGAGCTCCCAAAGCAGGTACACACCTGGATATGATTTGTCCATACTTCAAGTAAGCTAATTTACATACTCACCTTTCCTGATCTTTCAGTTTTCTTTTTAAAGAAAAGCTTCCTGAAAGGGGGTTGGTAATACCTTACCATTGTATATATTTATGTCTCCATTTCTTCTACTTTGCTCCGATAATTACAACTTCCTGCCTTTATGGACTAACAGCATTATTCAGTCAGAAGGTAGTGATGGCGAGCTCGCTGTTAAGTTTCATCTCTTTTTCTGTTGGTTACCTAGATACCTGTGGAGGGAGGCCAGGAGCAGCCGACAGATCCCACCAAGGGGCGATGCCTGAGGAGAACTGTCAGCGTCCCTTCCGAGGGTCAGTTTCCTGAGTACCCACCAGAGGGCGCCGCTAAACTGGGTAAGCTGATAAAAGGAGAGCAATTCCTTGCTTTTATCCAGTAATTTATGGACTTGTTATTGCGTGGTACTAGAAAACAAAACATCCTGCATTTCCTGTTATGGAAACTCGTTGGACTATCTAGAGTATGTTAACCGAGAGTTAGAGGTCATTAGAAAGTTCTATTCTTTATAACCAAGTGGCAACAAAGTTATTTTACAGAGATAAAATTTATCTGAGCATTGTTAAGTTTGCTGTACAGTTCTAGCAAGTTGGATGATATGTTGTTTCTGAGTTGACTGCTCAGCTTTAAATTTTGAAAGACCATTAGGTGATCTTTTGAAATACTGAGATTCATTGGAGAGCCAGTATTGTGTAGAAAGCGTATTGAGTGGTTTATGTCCTGTTCGCGTAGCTACTGATGCTGTCTAGTATAATGTTACATCAGATAAGGGTAATTTAGCTTACCTAATTTTATATATCCACGTAAGTTATATTCAGGCCTATGGTTGGAGGGGTAACAGAAGAGAGAAATAAGAAAACTCACATGAGCTGTTATACACTAAAGAAATTAATGTCAGTATCAAAGGTGCTCTTTCCCTGTTTCCTACCAAATGTATTCTGTTTCATGTTTTGCATGCTGACCAATGGATATTTAGATAATTAGACAGGTCAGGTAATTTTACAGGAGCATCATTAAGATTAAATGAAATAATGAAAGGGTTTGAAAAGTAAAAAGTGCTTCGTATTGTTGTATTATTATTTACTTAGCCTACCTACACATAGTCATAGACATTTGGTAGGTAGATAAAACAGAACCAGTTATTGTCTCTGTTTTGGTTAATATGGATAATTCTGTGACTTTGGTTGTGTTTTTGAAAATTAGGGTTTGGGGATTTGTTTATTTGTTTTTGCCTTTTTTAAAATTTCTCTTCATATTTTAAATGGAACTTAGAATTCTTGGTCAGAATTTGAATCCTTTATTTCTCTTTTTATCCTGTAACAGTTGTTGCTTTTCTAGAAATTAGTCAGGTTAGCAAACACTTTTCTCCAAAGAGTCATACTTGAAGAATTCAAATTTTCCTCTCATCTTATTTCCATTGTATATCTTCACCATGTGTTGAAACCACTTGAGGTGTTGGCCTAAATTATATTGCAAGCCTGTCTGGGTGTGACCATTGTATAGCCTGTTTATAATTCACATCCAAGTTCTGTGTAAATTGGTCTAGTTCAGAGTCATCTTTCAACTCCTTTACTGTCATTATTCATAAGTTATGTTGCTGACTCTTTGTCACTTCTCTAGGAACCTTTGACAAGCTTTGACCCACAAATGTGAGTTGATTTTGAGAAATTGTAATAGTCTGAAGAAGTATTATAATTTTATAGAAGAGAGAACTATATGGTAAATTATTAAATATCTCCAACATTCCTGGTACTGGTCCAAAGACAAACTCAGATGAGGTGGCCTAGGTGTCTAGTCCAGAGCCAGTCCTCCACCCTCTGTCCTTGACAGCAAGTCTAGTAGCCTTCTTTGACTTATGGCAGTTCATGATCGTTTTTGGAGTGGATGTTCTAAATTAGCACTGAAAGCTATTGCTCATAAATATTAGAGGGGAAAAAGACTACTTTTAGAGTCATTCTTATATGCCAATCTAATATCGAATTAGATAATTATTCTGTTGTTCTATTTTTATCTCCTAGTGATTTGTCTTTAGGCAAAATGTCCTGCTATCAAATATTTAACTGAGTAATTGCTGTATATGTAATATTCTATGCCAGTCCCTAAGAATGAAAAAAGATGTAAGATAAAGTTTCTACCTTTGAGAGATTCTTGTGTAATTAGGAAGATAGATTATTGATGACTGTTCTCAATACATGTTATTATTGTGGTATATTATATATATCGTGTGGCTTTTAGTGATTTTTTTATTTTTTAAAAACCCATTCATTTTTGCAGCAAATGGTTATTATTGACAACTATGTGCCAGACGCTGTTCTAGGCACTTGAGTTATAACAGTGAAAAAATAGACAAAACTCTCTCCCCTTGTAAAGCCTACATTATACTGAGGAGTGACAGACAATAAGCAAGAGTAATAAGTAAAATATATACTGTGCTAGATGGTAATAAATACAAAGACAAAAATAAAGTAAGGGATGGGAACAGAAAATGTCAATGAAGTATGCTTTTAGCTAAGGTGACCAAAGAATGCCTCACTGTTAAGTGACATTTGCGTAAAGATCCAATAAAAGTATGGGGGAGTAAAACATGTGGATACCTGGGGGTGAGGAGTTCCACCCAGGGAAAAACCTAGTATAAAATAGAAATATGTTTGGAGTGTTCCAGGAACAGCATAGTTGCCAGTGAGGCTGGAGTGGAATGAACAAGTGGGGAGTAGTTCATGACGTCATTGAGCTCTCTGGCAAGCAAATCATGAAAGTCTTGTAGGTCATCATAAGGGCTTTGGCTTTTACTCTGTGAGATGGTGAGCCGCTGGCTTGTATTTTGAGAGTAGGGACAGAGGATCGGGAGTGCAGAGACCAACTGGGATGCTTTCGCAATGATCTAGTTCTAGACAAGAGATGCTAGAACTTGGGCCATACTGGTAGTAGTGGAAAGGCTGAGAAGTGACCAGGTTCTGTGTATATTTGAAGGTAAACCAACAGAATTTGCTTGTCAGATTGTATGTGGGAAGTGAGAAACGGAAGAGTGAAGAATTTGTCTAAAGCAACTAGAAAAATGAAGATGTTATTTTTAAAATTGGAAAGACTGTGGGAGAAGCAAGGTGGAAAGTGGGATCAACCAGGGGCTCAGTTTTGGACATGTTAAGTTTGGAGTCTTATTAGACACCCACGTGGAAACATGGGAGTCTGGAAATCAAGGGACTGGCACCGACTAGAGATATAAACTGCAGGCCTTTAGCAAATAGGTGGTGTTCAAAGCCATGAGGTTGAATGTAACCACCAGGGAAATGTGTGTAGGTAGAAGAGAGAAGTCCAAGAAAGACTAAGCCCTCCTGCACCTAGAGGTTCAGAAGAGGAGAAAGCGCTAACTAGCAAAGGACAGATCAGCAAAGCAGGGGCAAAACTCCAGAATTCTGTTTCCAAATAAGTAAGCCAAATGAAGTGTATATGGGGAAGCCCTTCTGGTTTGGGATGGTCCTCACACTGTCCACGCTCTGGATTCTCTTTGTTGTTCTCCAGTAGAGGATCCCCAAGGAGGACTGATCAGATTTTGCAGGTGTAAAAACGTGGCACACATTTTGACTTTAGATATGAGGCAATCAACTATGGAAAAATACCCACTCGTGAAAAACATGTACCTTTCACCCTACTTTAGAGAATTCATAGCAGAAAGGAGCTCTATGAATGTAAAAGGTCTGTGAAGAACTTTCGCGGTGACTGCTAATTTACTGTACATCAGAGATTTCAAACTGGTGAAAAAACTTTTGAGTGTGAAAAGATGGGAAGGCCTATATTTGTGCCTCACACATTGTTCGACATGAGACAGTTCACACTGATGAGAAACCTAATGCATGCAGGGAGCTTAGAAAAGTGTGTACGCAGAGTGTGGGGAATGGGGTTTAAGCACAGAATGTCCTTCTCACTCAGTAGCTCTCAGACTCTTGCACTCAGCAGTTTATAGATTACCCAAGATACTAAAACTTATATTTATGCTGACATTTGACGCAGATCTTGATATCCCAAATTCTTTTCCACTGTAAATGAGATGTTTTCTTAAAGCATATGAACATCACATCTAAAGTACCCATTTCCAGATTTAGAAAACCTAGAAAAAATTATTTTCCCTTGGGGACAACATCCAGATTTTAACTTATTCATAAAAAAAAATTGTTTCCAAATTTAAACCATGTAAAGCATGATTTGCTGAATTTTTCAAAAGGATATTATTCCTTCTGATGATCGGGTCTTTGCATGCAAAGAATACTAGGAGGTATGTAAATTGACCACGTGAATTAAAACTAGTGAATATTCATTTTCAGTGTAAATGTAACCTATATGAATTCAACTTTAAAAAAAAAATCAATCAGATACCTTCCGATAACACTGAAATAGGGGATAGGTGAAAGCTGAACAGTGGACAACATTTTTGTCACGTATACTTTTATGGAAATAGTATGCCTTTGATACATGCTAGCAAGCCTTAGGAAAGAATATACCAAAAGTCTTTTAGTGTCAAAGTTAGCTATCCAAAACTTTCATGTTTATATGTATGTAAATGAAGAAGTCAAACAAAATTTAAAATACCACCACCAAAACAGGAAACCAAATTGGAAAAACATGGAGGAAAAGCCAAACTTGTACCTATGTTTTCCTAACTTTATTGACCTAAGTGATAACAATTTGAGAAAACTCTGAAGAAAATGCATGTTAAAGCAGAATATTCTCTCCAAGGCCTTTCTAAAATTATTATAAAGGAAAACTCTTTTAATCAAAAGTTTTAAAGGATTTTGATTATTCAAACCTTAGCTTTAACCCTTACCATCTCTGTTAAATTAGCCTCAGTTCTAACTTTGTGTATAAACTCATGATGACTAATTTTTAACTTCAAGATATCTATTAGGGGTATCTAGATAATTTATGAAGTATTTTCAAGATGCTAGAATCTTCTATAAAAATATTGGGTGTTAATAATATCGAAGGAAGGGGAAATCTGTGATGAAGATTTAATATTACAAGAAACATCCTTTCATTTTTCAAATAATAGAATTTAAAATGCTAATAAATAATGCCTGTGTAGCACTCAATATGCAGATTGACTATTAAATTTATATGTATGTATATCTATCTTTACCAGAAGCAGATCTTGAACTTTAGGGTAATGTATATAGAAATGATCAAAACATTTATGAAAAAATCAGTAGTCTGCTATTTCTGGCTCTGAAAGTTAGAGCTCAATGGAGCATGCCAACCGTTGGTTTTCTTTGAAATGCCCTAAAAATGTCAAGTCTTGTTTTCCTCTTGTAAAATAAACGATTTCACAATTACCTATAAGCAAGTTCATGCTAAGATAACTATTAGAATATCCAGCCTTTATACTTGTATTTCATCATTCCTAGATTTCAGTGATTTATTTGAGGAAAGTTATTTCAGTAAGACTTATTTCAGTAAGTTATTTGAGGAAAGGCCAAATGAGCTCAAGAATTATCAAAAACATTTTGGAAAATTAAAGTAGAAGACTCTGGAATAATCTCACTTGAGGCTTTTGGTTGAGTATTTTTGAGTTTTCTTAAAAATCATGAGCCAGTATATATTTATTCTTTAAAATCTATGGGATTCTATAAGATACATGTAGTAATACTGATGTTGCTAGTCTAGAAGAATGGGCTTGAGTCTAGGATAAAATAGCCATCCATGTACAGTCAATTCTGCTATAATGCAATGTGTTCCTAAAAATCACTGTACTGTACAAAATTGCTCAATAAAAATCACAAGGCTTATGGGGAAAAAGGGATTGGGGCACTATACTCAAAAACTTGGCTAATGACACAGAAAGATAGGAACTTAGTAAATAGCACATTTTTACATGTGTTAAATGGTGGAGAAATACATAAGTACTACAACAAATATAACACTTGAATGTGAAAAAAATCCTGAAATTCACTTGTGTTAGTGGACATCAGAGGATTTTTATAGTTTATTGTGAAGTGGTGGAAGCAGGGATTTTTGGAAATTGAATAGAACCTTGTTACACCACATGTGGATGGGCATGGCTCATAACACAGGCAGTGAAGGGAGGAAAAGCTGAGTGTGTGTGTGTGTGTGTGTGTGCGCGCGCGCGCGTGTGTGTGTGCATTTTGTGGATTCATATCTGGCTTGGTTCAGCTGAGTGTTCTTTGTGAAAAACACCTGTAAAGTGATAAAAAAAAATTGTGTAATTGTGTCTAATATGGCAATGTGGTGAAACATTCACGTTTTCGGAGCAAGCATTATAACAGAACTGACCTTACTACCAACCAGATTTGATCAGGTTTGTCCATTAGAAAGAAGTAGTTTGCATTTGTTAGCCAATTGAATTCGAAAGTGTGTGTTACTTTTGAAAACACTCCTAAATTCCTTTTGAAAGTTAGTTATTTAGAACTCAGAAATAGTATGAATAAGGTAAAAACTAGCACTTTAGTTTGCAAGCTAACTTACTAAAGCCGATTTCTATTTTACTCTTATGAGCTAGATTTAGATTAGCAGCAGTGAAAACATATTTTTCTACAAGGATGTCAGTTCTCAGTTCTAAGTCAAGGTACCAGACACATTGCCTTCTAACTTGTAAGTGGAAGTTAGGGTTCCTGATGTGCTCTTCTGTCCTCCTCCCCATCCTCATCCTGGCACGGTAGAGATTCGTCCCCTTCTGCGAAAGCTGGTTCCAAGGCAGCGCTGCCCCTCTGGTTGTGCAAATTATGCATCGTCCACCAACAAGAGGCCCTGTCATTGTGTCATTGTTCATTTGTAGTTATTTCATAAAATTTCCAGCAGATGGCAGTCAAGTGTCTTAAAGGGTTCCTTGTCTGGTTCATTAAGTCACTTGTTTGCATTATTGTGAGGGTTGCTGTAAAGCCTGAAGACCTGGGGAAAGAGAAGCCACAAAGGAAGCCAACGTTTGCCTGTGGGCCAGCTACTGCCAGGCTTACAAAGCTGTATCGCATGTCTTAATATTTAAGTTAGTCTAACAAACTTTTTTTTTTAACAAAANGCTCCATGTGGACATGATTTCTAAACTGAATTGAATTCCCAGGTAAGTATCTGTCAGGTAATAGAAGGAGTGAATCAAGGACAAGACGACAAATCCCCAGGGAATCCATGAAGGAAGTCCCAGGATGGCAGCCGTGTAGCTGGCTGAGGTCATCCCACCCAAACTGGGTTAAGAGGATGGAAGGCTTTTAGGGCCTGGTGTTATAAGAATATTATTTAGAAATGTTGCGATACATACCAAAAGGAAAAGCTAAAAATTAAAAAGCAGGGTGCCTTTGATGGGGTGGGTTATGGGGCTGCAAGTTTATGTTAGCTGGTTTGATTTTAAAGATGGTGGATTTTTTTTCACAGTGCACATAGATTGCCTTGCTAAAGTAATATGTAATTGAAGGATAAAGTAATGTGTAATTTAAGCAAACAGCCTTCTGAACGTGTAAAATCAGCATGATAGTTACTACTTCACAGGGTTGAGGAAAATGAGATATTAAAATTAAGTTCCCCAGCAAAGTTGTAGGTTCTCATTAAATGTTAGTTTCTCTCTCTCTCTCTCTCTCTCTCTCTGCCGGTTTTGCTGTACTTTCTGTAAGAAAAAAATATCTTAAGTTCCAAACAATCATACATTAAAAACCCCATCTAATTTTTAATTAGAGTACTATAATTTCAGACTTTAAATACTAATTATGCATAGTTTAATAGATTATGACAAACATTCTCACGATGCCAAACTTTTGGTGAGAACATCTCTTTTCATTAAAAAAAGGTCACAGATAGCAAAAATGTAATCAGAAATGAAGTGCACACCAAAAAATTACTTTGACTTTTGATGAAATTTTTTTCCTTCAGCCACTTTGCATGTACTTCTATCACAAAACAGGAAAATCTATCTCCAGCAATATTTAGATCAGCATTTATTTTATTAGATATTCAATAAATCTTGGTTGACTATATTGTTGATTAAATTGCCTTAAGTTATCAGTCATATGTCTCTAGAAAATATAAATGTTGTTGAATGTTAAAATGAAAGCACTAGTTTGTTTACAGTTCCACTTTATTGCAGCATTATTATCAGGTGGCTAGAAAGCCCTGCGCAAATCTTTTCTCAAAATTGTTTGATTGGATAAGTTCAGAAAATTGGGTAAATAGTAGCCCATAATATGAGGATTATTAAGTAATGTGTTGTTTGAATGTTGCTGCTTGGACTAAGATGCTGCAAGCTACGGTCCTGTATACCTACTGGGAAATTATTTCACAAAAGCATTCCTTTTGCACCTCTCCTTGGGTAATTTATAATGTCAGCATTTTCTTATCAAGGCATCTATGGTTATAGTATAGGGTCTTTAGTGTCTTATTTCAAATATTCGCTGCAGATGGAACAAAAGACTGAATGGTATTCTTGGTAAGAGGAACATTTTTTGACAAAGTTACAGACTTTTTCACATGATTATAGTTTCACTGGGATGTATTTTGGACCATGCAGTGAACACATTAAAAGTGTTCCCTGGTAAAAGAATCAAACATTTCTATAAATGAAAGGAAAAGGAAAAGATTTCAGATAATCTGAAGTGATAATAGCTTGTGAATCCTGGTAAATGAAGACATTGTAAAGATATTTATAGCAAAGAGGTAAGCTTTTTGAATGATGAAATATAAAAATTGTTCTCATTTTCTTTTGGTTCCCCCACCCCCTTTGTTGTTATAGGCCTCCTTCCCCAAACACGCAGAATACCACTTTTATTTTACTCCACAAATTCTTGCACAGTGGTGTGTACCAGGTATTGTTCTAAGCATTTTGCAAATATTTACTCCCTTAACCCTATGAACTAGGTACAATTATTATCCCTGTTTGTTTTTTAATATTTAAAGAAACTGAGGCAATGCTTTTCCAAAACTCTGCAAATAGTAAATGGCACAGCTGGTATCTGAACCTGGTAACCTGGCCCAAAAGCCAGTCCTCCTACCCACAATGATCTTCCACCTGCTTGGAGTAGTAAGCAAAAGGCAGAGCTCTATACTCTGGGTCCTGTGACACCCACAGTGCTTATATCCCTCTACCCTTACAAAAATAAATTCATTAGTAAAGTTGTCTGTTTTACTGTTATTTAGTGTAAAACAATGTGTTGTCATCTCTTCAAAAATATAAAAACAGAATACATAGGTTTTTGTTGCTGTTGGCATTCATAGGAAAAACTGTGATGAATGAAATTCTGTTTACTGAAGATACAACTTTGTGCATCGTTTAGAGAACTTCTTTACAAAGAACGTGCTTGGCACTTAATAAGCACTCAATATTGAGTCCAATTAAACACCGAACAAGAATGCACAATATACTGTCAGCATTTTCCAATTTGTATTCTATTTAACTTCATGTTTTACATGATGTAAAATTTAAAATACGCATCATATAGTTTTAAAAAGTGTTCAGTGTTTTGTAGGGGAAAATTTTAATTATGCAACAACTGATGGTACAAGGATAAGTGTATGGTCCATAATAATAAAATTTTACAAATTCAAGCCTAAATGTCTCTAAGGACAAAACTATATTNAGATTTGACCCCTGGCAGTCTGCCTTCCAGATCTGTGCTCTTGACCACTATGTTATATTGCACATATGAGTAGGACTTACGAGGCAGTGCACCGTAAATAGCATACACGGTCATAATGTTGTCTGTCCTCACCAAAATTACTATGTAACTACATAGGGAGCATGAGAGAATAGGCAGTGTGTATACACCTCGTGGGATAGTGATGGAGGAGGAAAGGATCAAATTCTCATCTTCCTTAGTGGAAAGTCAATAGATAATGTCTAAAATGGAAAAATAAAAAAAATATCAATACAACCATATTATTTAAGACTTGATGGTAACTACCGAAAGGATTGGCCAAGAAAGATAAAAGTAGTTGTTTCTGGGGAAGGAAAAGTGTTAGCAGAGGAGGGCTGGGGATTGCTGGGGTTTTGTTTTTGGTTTTGTTTTTAACAAGTCTTATAAAATCAGTAGACTCTATGTATGTGCATATATTACTTTATTAATATGTGAAAACTTTCAAAATAGGAAAAGGCATCTACAGTTCATAAAAAAGAAAATTAAAATGCCACTGAAACACAAGAAAAAGATATCCTGCCTCATTTATAATTAATAAAAGCAAATTAAAGCTACAGCGAGCTGCTGATTTTTACCTAAGAGATTAGCAGAGATAAAGGTGTGCTGGACGGATAGGAGGAAACAAGCATTCTAGTCCATTCATCTGCAGGATGCACTTTGGCAAAAGTATCCGTCCTCTTGGCTCCTGAGGCAGCCTGCTTCTGCAGTCCTACAGGTCTCCTCACACGGCCATCGCGTCGTTCTTTATAATAACACAAGAGCAGACAACCCAGATGTCCATCCATAGAAGCCTATTGAAATAAATTATGTTAAATCCCTATAATGGGCTACTGTGTACCTATGCAAAAGAGAGAAGCTCCGTGTATAATAATTTGGAACAATTTTCAAGATGCATTGTTAAAGGGGGAAAGCAGGTGCAGAAATATGTGTGTGTACCATGATTTGTGTAAAAAATGCCACATGCATATAAGCGCGTGTGTGTGCCCATGTGTGTGTGTGTGTGCGCGTGTGTGCGTGTGTGTAACACTAGACCTGTGTAGAAGAAGCCGTTAGCAGTGCTTGCTTCTATGAGAAAGCTGGAGACCTGGGGTAGGAGGGCGATTAACTTTTCATTATATAACTTCTTAACCTTTTAACTTTTAATCAAATGAATGAGTTAATAGTCCTAACTAATGATAATGGCAATAATACTAATACCAATAGTTAGGAGGAAGAGAAAGAGAAGAAAAGGAAGAAGCCTGCCTGTACTGAAGATGCATTTCAGTTTTTTATGATGTATTTCAAAAACAGGGGCAACAATGAACTAAATTCTGAGAGAATTAACTGGAAGGCAGGTATATTAGGTTGATGCCATCCGGTGGCTTTCACATTACTAAATATACTGCTTTAAAAATTAGCTAAGTTTCTTCTCACTCTCCGGTCATTAATTTATAGCAGGATATTAAGTTAGCCATTAAAACAGCTTAGTTTTTATTTACCTGCAGTAAAGAAGAGAAATTGAATCTGACTAAAAAAGACAAAAAACTTCTTGACATTTTTATATTAGATGGTTATAATCTAATAGACTATTAAAGCAACCTCTATTGGATATTTCAGGAATGTTAAAAAGGGTATTTTCTTCTTTTTGCCTCTTTGTTAAATACTACATAGCTGACTTAATGCTGGGGAACACATTTTCTGTGGTCATAAATGCTGTGCCTGTGATTCCATCTACCATGGAATCAGTGAGATAACAGAATAGGTGTTAATGTTTCTCATTTAGCTCGGACAGGTTTAAATCAACCCAATAAAGAAATTTGAGGTGTGACATCTTAGGAAGCATCCTGTCTCTATATCTCATTACTCATTTGTTTTTTTCCATTTTTACTTGTACAGTTTGGCGAATTCCTTTCTTCTAACGTACAGTCATAATTCACCTTTCTGTTACATGATGAAGGTAGAAACACAGAGGTAGAGTTGTTTATAAAGCATCTTGACTTATCTTTGAGGCTTCGTCTAGGCCCTTGACTGCCATTGAACCTTTTCCAAAAGGAAAAATATATGACTCAGATAAGTTGAGCAAAGTTAGCTAAACATTCCTTACTTTAGTTCTCTGTCTCTCTATCTGTCTCTATCTCTATCTCTGTATCTCTGTCTTTATCTCTCTATCTCTGTCTCTATCTCTGTATCTCTCTGTCTCTGTCTCTATCTCTGTCTCTATCTGCCTTTGTCTCTGTCTCTATCTCTCTCTATCTCAGTCTCTGTCTCTCTCTCTGTTTCTGTCTCTGGAGTCCAGGATTGGCTAAGCTGTTTATTACCAAATCCTTTTCAGTTTATATTTCAAACAGAAGGATTTTATGAATCAGATTGGTGGAAAATCTGGTTGAGTTTGTGTCCAAAACAGACTGGAGCCACCTCCAGGGATGAAGCGAATTGTGTTATGACCCGCTCGGCACCCACCTGCCCTGGGATTTCTATAGTAACAACATTTAAGAAAGGAAGCGCTCAAGTGTCTCAGAAAACTGTGTTCACTGGATTCTTCTGATTACTTTCTTTCTCTGAAATTTACAGCCTATTCTCTTTCCTGTTGTCTTCAGAAATTAACATGTTCACATTAACTTTTTTCACATTTTAATTGATATTAAATATAGCACAATAGGAAATTTCCATTTCTTTTTTTTTTTTCTGCTTACAAAATAATTCTTATTTTGTCTTAGTTTGGTATGTTCTAACTCTAGAGAGTAGAGAGTAACATAGGAAAAATTCAAGGTAGAAAAGAGTGAAAAGAACATGAATTCATAGGATAGGAAGGAAATGAAAGAGCACTGGCAATAAGGAGAGATTATTATTTTATCTCAGTTCATTTTTTTCCACTTAAAGGCCTTTAGATTTTTTTCCCTCTCACTGTAATCAGAGTAGTGACATCTAAGAGTCAAAAACATATTCAAGCAAATCTTTTGTAATTAATTTTTTAAAGTAAGAATTGTAGAGAAGTACTTAGATGTGTGTATTAGGAACCAAATAAGCTAGTGAAGGAGCCAATTAAAGAATACATTGGGTGTAAATGACAGTAAGAGGAGAGAGAACAATACATCGAAAAGCAGAATATCATTGGCAGTGCACATAACAATTAGATTAAAATAGCCCTGGCGTAGCCACTAAAAGTGCAACAGTTCCACAATGGTAGATAAGCCCCCCAAAAAGAAACTGTGTGCAGAACAGGAGTGAGGAGGAAATTTGGCCTCTTCTAATAATGTTTGGCATCAGTGATGTAGCAATAGGATTATAGGTAAAAGATGAGCTTTTATAACTAAATGTGTTACTTTGGTTAGTAAATTATTGTAGAACTATACTGATATTTTCATTATCTTTCCCAGGGCTTAGCAATGAATTTAACTGCTCCGTTGTATTTATGTCTAAGTAATACACTCAGGTATAGTGTTTGTCTTAGCTCAGGCTGCTATACTGCACTACCACGGGCTGGGGGCTTAAACAACAAACAGTCACCTCTTACAGTTCTGGGGGCTGGGAAGTCCAAGGTTGGGTGCCTGCTGAGGGCCCTCTTCCAGTTGCAGACTGCCAACTCCTTGTCTCCTCATATGGTAGAAAGAAGGCATGGAAGCTCTGGGGTCCCTTTTATAAGGGCACTAATCCCATTCATGAGGGCTCCACCCTTGTGACCTAATTACCTGCTAAAGGCCCCGCCTCCTAACACCGTCACGTTGGGGATTAGGATTGCAACACATGAATTTTGGAGGGACACCAACATGTAGTCCATTGCAGTGCTATTGTCCTTTTTAATTGACATAGCAATTTAAAGAAAAATTAATCTTGTGGAGTCTCATGTGCCCATATTAAGGCTGGTTCATGCATTTTCCACATTCAAAATGGTGAACCATTAATCAAACAAAGGTATGTTGTATCAGGGAATAAGAATAGATGAACATTTTCATTAGCAGAAATTTACCTCCCTCTTATTCTTTGTTAGTAAGCGAAATTCATGAATGGGTTTTTAGAATAAATGTCATTAGACTCTAAGAAGTCATCCTTTGGTATATATTTGTCTTTCAAAAAGTATACTGTTTCCACTTTATTGGTAATAATGCCATGTTACTTCAGAATTGGTGATTGTACCAAAGGTTTATGTCTCTGAAAAAAATATCTAATAAATTCTGTTTTTCTCACTATAATCATTTTTCTTCCCTCCATTTTCTCTATTTTGCCTTTTTACCCAGTGGACTTTTGGTCATAGGATTAAGTTATAGGTCTTCTTTCTAGGGACAGTCAAAGGCAAAGCATTATCCCTATGGGGCAAACTAAGATGCCATCATATAGATGTTGTAAGGCCCTTACCGAAGGACCAGTTTGATGTAGTAACATTGTCCAGGTAAATCGTATAATCTCATTCTAACCAACATTTCTTCTCTATTTTGAGTGAAACTTAAAGATTATCAAACTCTTTTTAAAATCCTAGTATTTGCATATATCCAAGTTTAGTTGCTGCCATTGAGGGCCTCTTAAATAGCTTTTTAAAAGCACACTATAATTTAGTATCTATTTAAATTAGCAGGAGCATTCTTGAGGCTAGGAAGTCTTTTTAAATTAAAAAGTAAGTATCAGAAATCAATACCATGGAGACTATAATTAATAACAACATAGTCTGTTATTGAATCTAAAGGCATAATTGGCAGGAAGACAACTTGTTCTTGTAGCTAGAAAACAGTATAGAAAACCCAACAAGAATATACAACACAAAATCCAAAGGAAGAGCGAAGCGAATGCCTGGTGTAGTTGGTTGATGGTGGCTCCAAAAAGGCATGTTTCCTTCCTAATGTCAGAACCTATGACTCTGACCTGCTTTGGAAAAAGAGTCTTTGCAGAAGTAACTAAATTCAGGATCTTGAGATGAGACCACCCTGGATTATCTGAATGGGTCTTAAATCCAATGACAAACGTCCTTATAAGACACAGAGTTGAGAAGACCAAGAGCAGGAGAGGCCTCGTGAAGCAGAAGCAGAGCTTGGACTTACGTAGATGCGAGCCAAGGAACGCCCGAAGCTAGCAGGACCCGGGGAAAGCCAGGAAGGGGTCTCTCCTACGCCATTCGCGGGGAAGGACAGTTCTGCCTGCGCCTTCAATTTGGACTTCTGGCCTCCAGAAAACTATGAGAGATACATTTCTGTTGTTTTTAAGCCACTCAGTTTGTGGTAATTTGCAACAGCAGCTCTAGGAAACTAATACAGATGGTTATTTTTTTTTTTGATAAATTTAATAAATTCTTGAATAGTTAGTATGCTGTACAAACTTTATCTCATCTCCTATCATTTTTTTTTTTTTAGGATAGAGTACCATGAAATGGTTCATTTTAAGTGTGAGTCTCTGATTCTTTCTATTTCTTACTCTTGCTGATTGCCACCTCAGATTTACCTCTTTATTTTTAGAATAAAAGTAAAGAATAGTCACACATGTAAGAAACATGAAGCGAGCCCAGGCGGACATAATGCAGAGGTCTGGATGTGCACCATCTCACCTACTCCTGGCAGTGGTCCTGTGAGACGGGTGCAGCTATTACCCTCATTTTATAGCTCGAGGACTGAGGCCGCCCAAGTGGCAGAACCAGCAGTCAAACCCAGATCTGTATGACTTCACGTCCACCCTGTCACGGTGCTTCCGCATCGCTCTGTCCAAATCGCAGTTATCCACTGGCTACTCCTGGTTCAAGAATGACTTAAACACTGGCAGGCAGCTGTGCGCCCTTGCCTCCTCTTTCTAGCTGTCCCCAACTAAATTTTGATCTTGATTCAAAGCCCTGCAGAGGGACTAACTTAGCAACTTACTCCGCTGTATGGAGTTAATTTTTCATTCATCAAGTATGTATTTTTTAAATGCCTATTATGTGCCACAGACTGTTCTGGCCTGTGTGAACAAAGTATTGAAAATGCTGCAGGCAGCAGTATAAACAAAAGCTGCCGCCTTCATGGAGCTTACATTCTGGGAGGAGTACAGCCCTACGATGTGTCATATGGTGCCTGATGCGATGGAGGAGAAAGCGGTAGGGTGGAGGGTAAAGGAGCTAGAGAGGGCTGTGGGTAAAGAAGGGAAAAGACCATTATTCTATCTGAGATGATCAGGGAAAGCCTCCCTAGTTAAGGGACCTTTGGGGAAGACCTGAAGGAACATTTCCCAGAACTGCAAGTGATGAGTTTCCAGTTTAAAAAAGGGTCTCTCAAGCGCTCAGCTTAATGAACAAAGACAGACCCACTTTAAGGCACCTCTTCAGGAAATTTCAGAACATCTGTTTTGAGGAGAGCCTCCTAAAAATGTTCAGAATAAAAAATACTGTATATAGGGGCCGGCCGAGTGGTTAAGAGCTCGCTCAAGAGCATGAGTTCTGGGCCGGCCGAGTGGCGCGATGGTTGGAGCTGGCTTGGGATGCCGGAGGGCCCCGTTTCGGATCCCACATATGAGGGCCAGTGACACTTGCCCTCTATGGCTGACATGCTGGACAACAGCTCGACCTGGAGCTGGGCTGCGGTGGGTCGCCGGCGACGGCGTGAGCTGTAGCCCCTGTGGCAGTGAGTTGCCGTGGGCTGTCATGTGTGGCCAGCAGCCGCAGTGAGCGGCCAGCNTCTAAGGCTAGCAGACATCTGGAGAAAAGCCTTTAGTATGAAAGAGAAAAACCAAAAGAAACAAACAAAATAAACTTGGAGGAACAGAGACCAGCAAGGAACAGAACACGTAAAAAAAAAAATCACTTAAAGAAGATATGGTTCATTTATACAATGGAATACTACACAACTGTAAAAGATGAAATAGTGCCATTTGCAACAATATGGATGGATCTTGAGAATATTATGCTAAGCAAAATAAGTCAGACAGAAACAGTCAAGAACCATGACATGATTTCAGTCATGTGGGATATAAAACTGAAAGCAACAAATGAACAAACAAGATAAACCAAAAAAACCTCATAGACACAGACAACAGTATGGGGGTTACCAGAGGGGGAGGGGGAGATAGAAAAGGGTAAAAGGAGCCAAATATATGGTGATGGAAGGAGACTTGACTTTGGGTGGTGAGCGTACAATGAAATATACAGACGATGTATTATAGAATTGTACACTTGAAACCTATGTCATTTTATTAACCTGTGTCACTCTAATAAATTTAATAAAAATTTTAAAAATCATCCCTATCCTCAGATGAAATATTATCCAGATAAAGTGAGACAAGATCTGAGTGTTATACAAAGCCAAAGAGCTTCTCTGTAGTCAAAAAAAGTTTTTAACAGAAATAAAACTCAATAGAAGTGTTCAAAGATAAAAAGAAGCGAATGTCCCAGAAAGTAGAGGGGGAAAAAATGATAAAATAATTAGAGTACCAGTCTAGGATGTCCAACATCAAAACAGTAAGTTCCAGAAAAAGAAAGACAAGAGGAGATCACTGGCAAAGTAACTCAAGAAAATTTCCCACAATTGAGGGATATGAGTTTCCAGATTGTAGGGCTTAGCGAGTGCCTGGGACAAGGCACATTTCCAGGAAACTTCAGCTTGTCTCTGGTGACAAAGAATATTACAAACTTCCAAAGAAAGGAAAAACAGATTACATCCTAAGGATCAGAAACTAGAATGGCTTCGCACTTCCCATCAGCAAGACCAGAAGCTAGAAAACAATGAGGAATACCCTCAAACTTCTGAGAATTCTATAACTAGCTGTAAACCATTCATCATCACACATGAGGATAAAATATATTTTCAGACATGCAAGATTTTTAAAAATTACCTCCTGCACATCATTTCTCTTCAAACTAATGAAATATATTCTTCACCAGGAATGAGCAGGACGTGGGATATATGCGTCGGATAGGAGACCCAGCCCAGGAGAGGCAGAGGGAGCCCTCAGGAGAACACTATAGGAAGAATGGAGTTTGAACAGCTGTAGAACGAAGACAACTGGTTCGGGTTGGAGCAGTCAGAAGGCTACAGTGAGGACTTCTCCAAGAAGACAAAAGTGATGTAACAATAAATTTAAACAA